TTACAACATAACCTATTTTGTCGTAATTTCCAGTATTTAAGTGCAGCTTTCTTCTCCTGTTCCACAAACAATTAGGGGCAAAACGCCACTTTGTGACTAAGAAAAGCTTGTTCCCTGTTATTCTCCATCTATGGGTGGATGTTTCATGCAGTAAGGTCAGCTGTGTTTTGCATATCCTAAGCAGAAAATATGTCCCCGCAGAGCTCAAAGTTAATCTTTATGGTTCTATATCATCATTTACCTCAGGCACTCAAGTACCATTAGAAGGCATGTATGTCTACATGTGTCTAGTAAATGTTGCTTCACATCATTAACTATATAAAAGCTTTTTTTGTTTTTTTTTTCCTCCCCATCATCATATCCTGGTTTCATCTCACTAAAAATCCATTTCAAACCTACTTAGTTTTTAAGGTGTTTGAAATGTTTTCACCTGTCATTGAACTTCTTGTATTTGCTCTTATGAAGTCTATTTGGATAAGGACAATGCTTAGGATGGTTTTGCCCTTCCACTATAAAGCCTTTACTCCATAAAGGAGAACACAGATTTGTTTTGATTTTTATTTTTTCATAAAAAGGACTCTCTTATCACAACATCAAGCAAATATGATGAACCCTCCTGAGGGTTTAACCATTTTCCTTTCACATCAGTTTATTAAGTTTTTCCATTGAATTGATCGTCTCTTTAAATACCATAGAGACTTTGAACCTTTAATCCAATTTAACCTTATATACTTTATTCAAAGCACAGATTTAACCCAAAGTGCTTGACAGGTTAAGATGCATGAAATGAAAGTAATAAAACAAAGACGAAACCCGACACCTTGAAAAACCGACAATCCTGTTAAAAAAATAGCTAATTGATAGGAGCCACAGCTAAAGTCAAATATTGCAACCCTGTGCTGAGGAAAGCACAGCAGTAGTCTTTTTAAATCAAAAGGCCACAAGTTGATCAACTTCACAGAATACGGATACACACATCTGTAGCTGAAATATAAATTGTCATATAAAAGATATAAAATTTATTTTACTTTATCCGATTTTTAGTTAAATTAAACATGATCCTAACAGCATTGAGATGCATTATCAAAGTATTCAGATCCTCTTAATCAGTGTAGCTACTTATTTCCTTTTGGGATAAAATAGGTAGACGTCTGGACACATGTTAATATTCCTTGGTCTACTCTAAACCAGCCTTCAGTAGCTCTGATTTTGTTTTTAGCAGTGTTGTATAAAGTACTGAAATCTCGGAGTCAAGTAAAAGTATGAGTACCTCTCAAAAATATGACTTTGGTAAAAGTCCAAGTCACTGACTGAAATGTTACTTGAGTAAAAGTCTTAAAGTATCTGAAATGGCTTGTACTTAAGTATAAGAATTACTGTAAAAATAGATGTACTCAAGTAATGTAGTGAAAAGTATAAGTAAAAAGTAGTGCAGTTTGAATTACATTTTTTTACATTTTGGTAAACTTTGAAGGTTAAATTCCCTTAAATTAATGTAAACAACCAAGTGTAGGATACATTTAGACTGGCTTTGCGAAACAGGCGTATCCTATTGATGTTGATGAACAAGCCCAGGCAAGACCCGACTTTGTAGTCCGTAGGTGGGGTCAAAACACCTGCGTTTGTCTTGCTCTCTCACTCGTTTTTTTTTTTTTTTATTACTTAGTAACTAAACCAAACTTTGAAAATGTATCAGAGTAAAGGTATGCAATTAAGTTCGTAAATGTAGTGAAGTAAAAGTGAAAGTTCTCAAAAAAATGTATACTCTTCGAAAGTATAAAGTACTCCAAAATATACTTAAGTACAGTAGTGAAGTATTTCTACTTCGTTTCTATACAACACTGGTTTTAAGGCTAGCTTCCCTGCTTGTTCCTAAATCTTCTTTAGCCTCCAACACCTTTTCTTCTAGCTCTGTCCTTTATTTAACCCTCTAACCCCCATAACTGCCAACCAGCTCTAATGCTGATTCTGCAGATAACTGCAGCAACGTTTGAGGTAACCTCCCATCAGCACTGATGGCTGCTTTCCTGCCGCTTCAAAGCATGACGTAGCTGTCCTGTCAACAGATACTCTCTGCAGCTCCTCCAGAGTTACCATTGGATATTAGGAAGTTTCCATTATTGTTCCTCTCCTTGTTTTCACTGATGGCTCTAAGGAACCGTCATGTCTTGGCAGTTGTGATATGCTATCTGTACTGCAAAAAAAATTATATCTGAATAAGTATCTTTTTCTTAAAATAAGGGCATGTTTCTTGAATTGAGGAAATGACAATTTACATTAAAACTAAGTAAAAGAATTGCATTGTCTAATTTCAAGTGCGGATTATCTAATTATCTTATTTTAAGAGTAAAAATATTAATTCCATTGGCAAATAATCGTATTTCCCCGTTCAAACTAAGGCTAATACACTTAATTTATTAAGTGTAAGAGCATTTTACTTATTTCTAGCTTGCTTTTTTTTCAGTTTGTTTTCTAGTAGACTTCTAAGACCTTCAGAGAAAAAAAAAAGATTTAGACAGGGATTAGATCATACAGCAGGACAAATAAAATCTGCATTTTTCTTATTTCAAATACAAGAAAATTCAGTAATCCATGAAGCATTGTGTTTCCGCTCTGCAATGAAGGACCACTTCATAACTATTAGATCAACTCGTAATAAAACACACTGAAATTTGTCATTCTAAAAGGAAAAAAAGAAATGTCTATAGTGTATAAATATTCTCCATGATGCGTAGTGAATACATTTATATATATTTAATTAATCAGCATCAGTATAATTATAAAGCGGTGATAAGTAAAGTTTTTAATGCTACATTAAATGTTATAATCTCAATTTGTTCCATAGCCATGTTTGTTTGTGAACTTATTCTTATATTTTGGAGCTTGGGTTTGCTAAACAAATGCTTAAAATATGAAAAAAAAAATGTTTTCACATCCTGTTTCATCACAGTCTGAAGATGAATTTTATTAATCTCTATACAGGAGCATCAGGTCTGAGTTAGCAGCTGAACACAGGCAGCATTTTGTCCTCTGCATCTGAAAGTCATTAATACTGCAGGCAGATTGCTTCAGCAGAGCATTAAAGTCTCATGATTTCAACGCCAGCCTAAACTATTTAATTACACGTCTCTGTGTGTTATTTCTGCATCGCTGTTAGGCAGCAGGTAGAAAGCTCTCAACCAGAAAATCGGCACATAAGTTTTTTTCCTGAAGAGAAATAAAAATGACACGTTTCCATCGACTGGTTGCTTGTTGAGGATTAACGCTGGTTACTCCCTGCTCCTTGGGAGCGGCTCCGTTTCCTGATATGCCTCTCAAACTGCAGAAATGCAGCCATTTCTCCACATTTCGGTTTTCTAACGCTATCATCAGCATTTCTGCCTCCATGACATGAAAACAAACGAAGACTGAGCGCCTCTGCCTGTGTGTGTGTGTGTGGTTTCAAACCCCCCTGTCAGCAATCACTGGGTGGGAGACAGTCATAAACCAGGCTTTAGAAGCCAGTAATGGCCCACTGCAGTGCTGGCAAAACTTATATCACATTATGCCTCTTCCCATTCAGACACAAATAGGATCATTATTTTTGATAACTATACAGCAAGTGCTGGATAATTCAATTACATTACTTGCCACTGCATAATTCTGCATTTCAGTTAAATCATCATAAATCTCACCGTGTCCTTGTAATTACTGTATTTGATTACAGAACAAAACGAATCAATAACGCACAGCGTCACAAATTATTAGAACATTATCGCCGATCTGTAAACAAAGAGCAAGTCCTATTTATTCACTTACAGTGATGACAGCTTCATACTGACTGTTGCTTAATGTGGTTATTTCTTATTTTTTTGAACACCATATACTACTGTTAGAAAGACAGGTGATTTAAACCAGCACTGGTCTGGCATCATTTTTATTTGTCCAACAGATTTCTGTCTGTTCCTGCAAACTCCAGCATTATTTGCGAAGTACCACAGGTCTATATACATATATATATATATATATATATATATATAGGACAGACCAGAAGTTTGGACACACCTCATTTAAAGAGTTTTTTTTTTATTTTTAGGACTGAAACTTGAAGATTGACACTGAAGACCTCAAAACAATGAATTAACTCATGTGGAATTATAAACTTAACGAAAAAATTGTGAAACAACTGAAAATATGTCTTATATTCCAGGTTCTTCAAAGTAGCCACCTTTTGCTTTGATTACTGCTTCGCAGACTCTTGGCATTCTCTGGATGAGCTTCAAGATGTAGTCAACTGAATTGGTCTTCCAACAGTCTTAAAGGAGTTCCCAGAGATGCTTAGTGTTGTAGTGTCAGTGCCGCTGTGCCACCATCCAGGGTAGAGGCATTAGCTAGGTTATTGTCATCAACTTTCATTATAGTTGAGGGACTCAAGTCTGTTTCTTTCCTAGACATAGCTATGAGCTTAGCCTTTATTGTGATTAACTGTATCTGCTATTTATTTACATTAGACAAGCTCAGAGCTCATCTGCTTATCTTTTTCTTATCCAGGTAGAGCCACCTATGGAGGTGGTTTACCAGTAACCTCGCTAAAATTTGAAGTCTTTATGGTTCAGTGCTTTTCGTGTGGCTGCTTCTGTCTTCTTGAACCCGTCTGCCTTGGCACAAGGACTCTCACACTGAGCCTGGTTCTGCTGGATATTTCTCTACTCTCCAGTTGCTTCATGCATGTTCAATGTAAACGATTTTTGCAGTCACACTACTTGTTCAATCCAGGAGGAGTGAAGTCAATGACTGTATGCTATCCACTGGGTTGCCTAGGATAGAAAACCTTTAACCAGTCGGTGTATTATTTGATTAATATCTGTTTGTAAAATGCCTTAAGTGTGCTGTGAATTGGTAAAAATAAAACCGAATTGAAAAGATTTAATTTACAGTAAGACATTTCTTCTGATTGGGACATAGCCCTTGCCCTCCTGTGATCCACTTAATAAAATAACAGGCAATCAGTGGTTTAAAAGCTGAGGCTTTTTATTTTTAGGAAAACAGAACATATTACAGGACAAATGTTTTACCCTACAGGCTGTACAAACACATTAGTTATGAATCAAAGAGATCATTTTACAATCTGTTTTTAAACCACTTTAAATGACTACAAGTTAGTCTCCTACACAGATCAGTGTTCACCTCATTAGTCAACATTGCTACAGAAATTGTTTTCAGCTCATGTTAAGTTATTATACAGAGAAGGACATATTTTGCTTGGCCCATGGAAAAGATGAATAATAAAAAAAAAAAAATCTTCCAAACAAAATAGGGTAATCTCTCACAGAAACCCCGTACTGAAATGTTAGCTTTAATTGAACTATATTTACTTGTATGTCCACCTTCTTTTTCTATGGATCAAAGTTCCTGTGTAGCCTTGAAGGTTCACCTCTTTCAGTTCAGCACTGCAGCAAAGAGCCAGGTCTCTCACCAGGTCGCCACAACAAGTATTTCTTTGGGGAAAAGTAGCCTTTTTCTGTCCAACTGCCAAAACCATTAACATGCTTTACTCTGTAGCAACAAAAATGTTGGTTGGAAAAGATTAGCACTGAGCATTGCTGTAAAAAACACTCCAAGTGGGTTTGGTGTGAGACGATGTGGGAAAACACCTCATCCCTACGAGGCAGAGAAACTGTGCTACTGTGGGCCTCATATTTCCATTAAAAAACACAATATCAACCAAAAATGGCTCCCTAGACACAAAATTATTTTTACTCTGGTCATCTCAATTCATGGACCTTAATCATCAAAATAGAAACAAAAAAACAAGGATAAATAAATACAAAATTAAAAACCTGTTGGCTGAGCTGAAGAAGAGAGTATCAAAGAATCTGCACTCTTGTCTAAAGTGGAAAGCAGAATGGCTACAGATTACCCTTGCCTGTTAGCTTCATGGTAATTGAACAGTTCAAGTGGTGTCTGATTGGCATTTTTACAAAGCAGGAACAGCGGGGGTGCCAGAAAATGTGCAACATGTGATTTTGGTAAGAAGCATGAGGTCTTTATCTTTCCACTGAACAGATCAAGTCAAATTAAAGGGTTTTAGTTTGTTTTAAGTGCTGGATTGTGCTGCCTTTTGTTTTATGCTTTTTACAAGTTTTTACTGGGTTTGCCAATAAATGTTTAAGTGAATAAAGAATCCAACACAATTTAAGTAAGTTACTCATTTTGAAACTCTTCAATTCCTAAGAGTCTTGTAGTTTGCTTTTACACAGTCTCCTCCACAATGAACTCGATTGCATGTTGAGGTGACTGGCTTGTTTCCACCATAGTGATTTCACTCTCCTCCATGGCGATGGAGGGAACTGTAATAGCCTGACCTCCTAGAACAGATGAGGGCAGGATGACGACCTGTGAGGTTCCCTCTATGCCACCGAGCTGATCAGAGGGGATCATCACCGTCTCTGTGCCTTCTTCACCTTCCTGTAGCACATATATGGTCTGCACAGTGCCAGACTCCAGCTCTGTAGTGGTGGTCAGGTTGGACAGTGCCTTGGCCCCCTCCAACACCTTCTGCACGTGAGCGACCTCAGCGGCCTGCACCACCTGCTCGACTGCTTCCGGGGGAATGTCTCCATGTTGGCGCAAGTGTTTGTCCAGATTGGGACGAGAGCGGAAGGCGGCAGGGCAGTGGGGACATGGGTAGGGTTTCTCGCCACTGTGGGTGCGGGCATGCTCGGTGAGACGGGCGGCCACGCTGAAGCTCTTTCCACAGATCCAGCAGCAGAATGGCCGCAGACCAGAGTGGATCCGCTCGTGGTCCTGCAGATGGGGCAGCTGGCGGAAACGCTTCCCACAGGTGGCGCACTGGAGGGAGGATTAGAGGGAGACTTTAGTTCTAAGAGCTCTGCTATCATCTAACACACATTTATATTTTACATACCAAAGCAGTGATACTCATACAGTTTTCTTAACATGTTTGTTAAGCAAACAACCTAAAAAGATGTCATTTTCATTCTCTATAAACTAGTCATGCTTTAAAATAACCAATAGTTACTGAAGCTCCTGAAGTAAAAGGAGAGTTGGAGTAGTTCAGGATTGGGATTGAAATAATGGGACTGAAGTGGGATATTTTCAGTGGGAAAATATCCAGCATGATTATGATATGACATAATGTTAATACCCTTACAGATTTCAGCTTTTTATTGGCACACGGTTCATTCAGGTTTTAAAAAATTGCACAAATGTAATTAGTAAGACAAAAAAAACAATCCATTTTCAAAAATTTCAATTATAAATTGAAAAAATAATAAGCTTGGCCCTAAATGTAGATAAAGTAGTTTGTTTGTAACCCATTAGTTAACAGTTATTAAAAACATTGTTGGTTATATCTAAGCCACACAAATGATTGATTATTTCCTGAACCCAATAACCAGGAAAATTACTTAGTAGAGTTTGTCTGACAGCATAAAGCAGACTAACTCAACTTAAAATGTCACACATCACGCTCCAATGTAAAGAAATTAAACCACAGATTAGATACTAAGTCACCCAAATCTATCCTCCTGGAAAGTATTAGGATCTGGTTTCTAAGGATTCACAATTTCAGTTAATTCCACTGGGAGCCTTTACCCAGAAATGAAACTGATATGAAACTGTGATGAACCCTCTTTTAAGTCACCATCCAACAAAAATCTTTCCGAAAGCATATCAACCATTCGTCCAGAAGGTGACAAGAAGAATCCCGACAAACCTAAAGCACTGCAGATTTCTCCAGCCTCAGTTTGGGTCAATGTTAATGACTCAGTACCAGGAAGAGAGTGGAAAAAAATGGTAGCCGAGTTTCACAGAGCAAAGAGAAAACTCACATTTACAAAGCAGCACACTGATAACACATTAGAAAATACGGTTGTCAAAAATATAGATACACTGCAAACTATCAATAATAATTTGGCATGGGGTTGTTTATAAATTATTTTCATATTAAAAGGATAATACTTTAGACAACCTTAAAAGAGCTACATTCAAATTTTCTATTCTGCATTTATTTACACTCTTATTGAACCAGTATCTGAAATTCTGTTGAGACACAACAGTATTTTTATCAATAATGCATTTTGTGCCTTTAATTGTTATGACATTTATGACCATGGTATTAAAATTGGTTTTAATTATTTTCCTGGGTATGGATTTCAAATTTGAAGTAACAGTATCCAGAAAACCCTATTAGGCACATATGGAATGAGACAAAAGCGGACCTTTCTAGAAGCTCTGCATCCAGTGTCGTTATTGGCAGCCTTTTAAGTTTTAATCAGTCTTAGTCTTTTGGACTTAATTGCTTATTTCTTTGAGTCACAATTAGGTCAATTCATATATAAAAGTTTTAGTCTAGATTTGTTAGATTTAGGAAAAGTTTTTTTTGTTTTTCATGTATTTTCTGCCTGGATACAAGATAAACCTTCTACAAGTGTCATCAAGTGAATTCAAAATTAAATTCAGGTATCATATCTTAAAAAGCACATACTATATAGACATGTAAATACATTTATTATGTATTTCAACATGTGTTTAAACACAAATTTATTAAATACTGTTTTTTAAATATTTTACTTGAATCTTGAGCTTATACAATTCTAAAATTGCTATATTTAGCAAAAGATTGGAAGAGAAAACCACCAGATATCGTTCTCTGTTAATGTAATTTTGCTTCTTTCAGTTCCAGTTTTACCAAATCCTTTATTATTCATGAGGAACTCACAAATATTCAAACTGAGCAAAGATTGGGAGACCACAATGATTAAATATAAACCAGTCATAATTAGCTCTAAATATTGAGAATGAAGGTCACAGATCAAACTGAGCCATTAATGCCTGGATCACAGCAAGGATCAACCCAGTACAAAAATATAAATCTATCACAGGACAGCTCCCCATCAGGGATGATAATGAGCTCATTAGCTGCTGGGTAGTAAATAAATGAGTAGTAACAGTACAAACATGATTTTCTTAATCATAGAATGCCAACATCAGAGATTTCAGTCAAGGTCATCTCATGAGGGGACCGTCCCTGGAAACCAGGACATCTGCTCAATATATTCGTATGGCTTTTATCCTAAGCCACCAGATTATGTATATTAAAGCACATAAAACCCAACCTGGTAAACATATACTGACAAAACAGAAACAAGGAGCTAAGCTTTGTTGAACATTATATTTGCTGTCCAGCCAAAATTACTGTAACTAATTAGAGCAACTAACCCACTTTTAAGTTACCAGGACCGCACCTTTCTTTTCAAACATGAACATCAAGCTAAAATAACAAAAATGTGTGTAAAGGTTCCTCATCTAAGATGTAGACTCCTCTCCAGTTATCACCTGTGCTTAAAGGCTGTTGTTGCTACGAAGTTTATTTAGTGTATATGATGATTACATTTTTTCAAAGGGTCATGTAGCTTTGAGAGCTTTTTTATAAAAAAAAGAAATCATTTACTGTTTGTTTTTTTTTTCACTTCAGAAGGTATGCAGTTATTTAAAACATGTTGATGAATGAACACAGAAATAAGCAAAGGGTCGGTAAAGGTCTAAATAGTAGGGCTGCAACTAACGATTATTTTGCTAATCGATTAATCTGTCCATTATGTTTTCAATTAATAATTGGATAGCCAAAGATTCCTTAAAGAAGATGTTTTAAGAAATTAAACCAGGTTAAACTAAAGATTTTCCACTAGAGGAGTTCTGGATGGAGCATATTGACAGAAGAAATTTGTTTTTTTTATGTTAAATGCAAAATGTTGAGATATATCGTTTTACAATCTTGGCATAATTACTGCTCTAAGTGAGTTGCTCTGTCAGCTACAGAAATGTTTTGCAGTCTCTATTCTCGAGCGATTGCTAAATTAGTTGAAAACTATTTCAACAATCAATTGATCACAATTAATCCGATTAATTGTCTCATCCCTACTAAATACCAGTCTTTACTACACTTAAGTTTGGATAGTGGACCAAAGACTGGAAATATAAATATTTCTTCTCAATTTTCCAGACTGCTTAGGAATCCTGGTTGTTCCACCTTAATAAAGGTTTAGATTTAAGCTAACTAAAGGAATATCGTCAGTAATCAGCAGTTGCACCTTTTTCTGCCGCGCCGTGATTTGCTCCCTGTATGCTTCCACCTGAATGAGCACAATGAGCTACAACTAAACGCCTGATTAAACCTGAGGCACAACAAAAGACAGACATTCTGCTTTGCTCATATTCCCACTGGGTAACCTCAAATTGAAGCTGCAGTCTCTGACAGATTGGCCCTTCAAGTGTCTCTGAAAAATACTTCTTAATATTCTGCTTACCAGAATGCTCTACATGTTCTATGCAAATACTTGTGTTCTTCCAGGAGGCCAATATATATATCTGATAAACAGCAAATCTACCGCTGCATATCATCAGCCTGCAGCAATTCTGATAAATGCATCATAAAGCAAAGTCACTAAGATTAAATCATTTCTAAAACTCTGCATGCGGAGACGGGTTTGGGTGGGTCTATAGTAGATGTCCTGCTCTGTCGTCTCTGCATCAAAGAAAGAAAAGATCCCAGAATAGCATCAGGCACAGAGGGGAGCAGACAAGCCCCAAGTCAGCCCTGTCATAAATCACAGGTACACAGGGAGGAAGGAATCACCCTCAGGACAAAAAAAAAACTGCATAAATGTCTTTGGTGTAAAATGGTCACAACCTACGTGTGTCTGTTATCATCTCATATAGGCAGGACAAAATCTGCCTTTAAAAGCCAAGACTTTTTATGCAAGCACACACTTCTCCATGACTCCTCTCACCTCGAAGGGTCTCTCATCAGTATGTGTCCTCATGTGAACGCTGAAGGTGGAATTGTATGCAAACTCCTTGAGGCAGATTTCGCAGCGGAAGCGTGGTCGGCTTTTGGACTTTGAGAGCTTTCCCTGGAAATGGGCCAGCACGTGCTCCTCCAGGGCGCTGTTGGAGGTAAATCTGCGGCGGCAGGGCCTCACTGGGCACTTGAGCGGCGTCTGGCCCGTGTGGGATAAACGATGGAGATCGAGGCCCTCTTGGGTCATGCAGCGGTGACCGCAGAGGTCACACTCGACCTGTGGGGGGAAGAAGGACAGAGAGAGGACAAAATATAGAGGAATGGAGACCAACAAGCAGCGCATGTTCGAACTGAGGCACAAATAAAATAGTTTAGATAAATAAAACAGATCAAACCCTGTAAAAATACTTCACTGAAACTATACATTGGTGCAGTGTGTAATTTCACACCGTTATCTTCGATTAGTCAAATCCTTTAATCTGAGGTGTTTTTAAAAAAATAAATAAACCAACTGCTGTAAAGTAAGTCTTTTTTTATACTTTTCTAAAATACAACAATGTCAGCTCAGTTATCAAGAATGCAAAAAGAACGTCTCCATAGCAACCATCACATACTGCCAAATGTTTGCTTTTCAGGGTGAGGGAGGTGTTTAAAAAAAAGAAAAAAGAAAAATGTATATTTTATATTTTTTAATGCTGTGATGCTGTGGTAGCATCACAAATATATATATTTTTTGGAATTTGCTTAAAAACAGATTGTGCTTTTTGGCAACACCTTGATGCAACTCATACAAACTTTTGGGTTGGTGGAGGATCCATCATGCTGTGGGCCTCCTTCTCCTCTTAAGAACATGCGACTGGTAGTGAACATTTGTGCAGTGAAAACGGGAGAAAGCAGCTAAGCAATTATAAGAAGGGTTTTGTTTGCTGAAAGATTTGTTTTACTTAATTGGGAAATGTGTAAATTTTGATTTGTCATTTTATAGTTAAAATGTGAATAAAACTAATAAAATCTATAGCTTTTAAATTTTATGCCACTTTTATATGGTATATTTTATATCTGTCTGTTTGATAGATGTCAGTGTAATTTCCCTACTGGAAACAATTCACACAAAAATAACCACTTATCTGAATTTGCCAGGGCTATGAATAAATCTGACACCATACCTTCCCAAAGATTATTTTCTTTGCTGAAGATATATATATATATAAATATTTAAAATGTTCCTACCTGTCCAGTGGAGCGACCACGGCCTTGTCCACGTCCACGGCCGGTGTTCCTGTCCTCCTCTGTGACAGGACACCTCTGCAGGTGGATGTCCAGCACTGACTGGTTGATAAACTGTGACGCGCAGTGCGGGCAGGTCACTGGCTGCTTGTCTGTAATACAAATAGGTCAGGTTTTAGACTAGGAACGTTCTCTGTCTCCAGTGTTCCAACTGCAAAACATTCAACAAATAATACTTTCATTCACCAATAATGTTCCGCAGGCAATTTAAAACATAACCTAAATACTCCAAAGACGTGTGTCATTAAAAATAAGTTGTAACAGCTGATCCTCGCATAGATATGTGGCTGTTAGTACACAATTATAATGGATTCATAATGAAAGAAACAACAAAACATGTGTTGAATCCAGATGTTGTCATTCTCTGTTCTGTCCCCAGTGACGCCGCAGTGACTGATCCACACTAAATATTAATTAAACACAGCACATTACCAATCTCAGATATAATTAGCTATCCTTTCATGTGTCTATCAGGCTTTTCTTTTAATCCTAAACATGTACCCATTAGCTGTAGGGTAAAGCTACAAACAACCTGCCACCACATCCATCTATCAACAACATCACATTAAACTCCTCTTTGTCAAACCAAACCTGAATCTAACCTTCATTCTGCAAAAAAAAAAAAAAAGGTTGGTCTATTTTGCTTCAACCAAAAGATTCTAGTGATGAAACATTTAATAGAATTTACAATATTAGCAACACTGTTACCACTGATACAGTCGACATTGTTTTTCAAAGACATGAGGAAGTGGTCTGCACTTGATCTGACATGGACAGGAGCGGAGGATGTGGATTCCCACAGTTGTCAGAACCTAGATCAATACCATGCTGATTTGTACCAATCCAACCATCTCTTCCTTTTTTGTAAAAGTGAGCATATAAACATTTACAAGAAAAAAATATTTCCATTTTACTCTTTTGTTTACTTTACCTGAAATTGTACTAAATTGGAACCGAAGTCAAATTAAAACCATTTCTGATTTGGTTCTGGCATGTAAATTCACTGCTTTTCCAAGAATGTTACCAAACTTTAACCCCAATCAGTTCCTTAAAACTGATTTCACTCAACTACTGAAATCCTGTTTGAAGTCAAGCCAAACCTTTTTAATATTACTTCTCCCATTAATAAAAGAGCTGGTGGTGGGTTAGGTAACAAAAAACTCAAATGACAGACAAACCCAAATTTAAAGAATAACCACAACTAAGTGAAAAATCCTGACATTTCTAAGACTTTTCAGGTCTAAATTTAAAATAAATATAAAAACTTTCAGCAGTTTTATGTTTACCAGCCATCATTTAGGTTTAGCCATCTTACTCAAAAATACTCTAAAATAACAGGTAAACAAGTAAATGTTTATTCTAGTATAGAATATAGAAGATAAATAAATAAATAAAAGAAAGTATAATAAAAGATCAAATATGCATCTTTGCAGCAATGATGTTCAGTTTTCTTTGGTATAATTTTTTTTTTTAAACCACTGACTATCAGCTGGTTCAGCTCCACATGTATTATGGAATCCCTTCAAACTTGGACTCTACACCCCTGCCTTCAACGGTTGCTCTGTCTGCTGCCAGAAGGGGGCGCAAGTGTTCACCTGTCTTTATGCAGGCCTTCGATGACATAGTATGCAACTAGCAGGGTAGGCGGTTTGTCCATGTTTTCATGGCGCTGAGTCAAGATCCTATAACAGGCAGGTTTTACACATATACTTCAAAATAAGGATGTAAATTTGTTTTGTTTTTTTTTTTTTATACAGTTTCTGTAGCCATTACAGTTATTATTATTCAGCATATTGGGCTTATTCAGCTAAAGGGAGCCCAGATTTCAGTTAAAGCGACGATACGCTCATTCAAATAATTCATTTCAAAGCAAATTATTCAAATGGCAGGACAAAAAATGTTTGAGATCAAACATCACATAAAATACAATCGTCCAACTTGATAAAGAATCTCCTATTACTTTATGACTTCTAACATATAACCTTATAATACTGAAGGCTCTTCACATCCTAATTCATATGGTGATAAGTTGCAAAGCAGTGAACTAAGCAGCGGTTTCTACTATTTTTCTGCATCGATCAATTTGATGGTTAAACTAGTCGATTGGTTTCTATACAGCTGGTGTCCCAGATAGGTTTTGGCAAAGTAAACCAAACTCTCAGCGGGTCAATCTAGAAAAGCTGGCAGCAAACTGCTGGCATTGATGGTTCATCGTTATGTCCAAAGGCCATCAAGCCAATATCTCACAATCTGCTAACCATCTGCAGTGTGTATCCCATTAGCGAGCTGCACTCTGCTCCCTGCTGGGACCCCCTAATTAAACCTTTAATAAGGACAATCTCAGCTTACAGCCTTGGACTGATCAATAGATCAATCTCTCCCATCATCTTTCTCCAAGGAGACACGTCCCTCTGACCTCTGCTGGACGCTGACTCTTCGAGCTTAACTAATGAGGTTGCAGTGCCAACACCCCCCTGATTAAGATGAAGTGTCAACATGTTGACCCAGTTCATTTACCTCCGCCCAGCTTCTCCATTCCATTTGGCATACAAATCAATTCAAAATCAGTGATTTCAGAGGAAGGACAAACACAGCGCACTGCTGCGTGTAAATAAAAAAAGAATAAACCACCTACAGTCTGATTCATTTATCAAGAGATTTGAACTAATTGTTTGCTGTACTGATAAGAACATCATCTCTGATTGATTTCCATTACAGTGAGCTATGGGCTTTCATTCGGTTCCTCGTTATGCTCGTCACATTCTGTCAGTTTCCTATCCCTGCATTGAACTGCCAATGAAAGCCAACAATAAGCAAGGTTACACAGAGGTAGACGAAACGAAAGCTGGAATTAAAAGCAAACGTTTAAACACAGACTGCTTCACTTTGTCCTGGTAAGCTCACCTTGATGTATGAGAGAGTGAAGGTCCAGGTCCTTCCTGCGTTTGAAGGCCTCTCCACATTCAGGGCAAGGGAATGGATGGCTCGTATGGAGCAATCTATTGACAGAGACGGGTTATAATTCAATAGAACATCTCATATGGGGCAGATAAATACATATAAACACAACTAAAGCATGAACAGGTAGGGTTAATACGATGCTAAATGTATCTGAATTAATATCAGTCGATCTAAGACATTTTTAACAAAGGTCCTTTGAATGGAACGGGACAAATATTAATACCGTAGATATGCTCATCTTGTTGAACTTAATAGTGATTGCTGGTGTTTAACTGAAGCAGAGAACGATAAAGAAGCCAAGAATATTTCAGCAAGTTTCCTATCGGTGCTTCTTTAGTTAATGCATGTGTCAAAATTGATGACTTTTAAAAAAACTTTTTTTTAACCTGGCATGAGCCAGATCGATCGTTGTACTTTAATTTGAATTTTACAGCATCCTTCTGAAAACGCTCCTGTTTGCAAAAGGTAGGGACATTTATAAAATTCTTCGAGCTGATAGGGTAAATGACAAAGTGGCCCAGCCTCTCATATCGAGGTTTAAGCCAACTGTAGCAGCAGCTGTGCTGTATCACATTCTTGATTTGTTTCACAACTAGTTAAACTGAAAAGTCAAACTCTTGCCAAATCCAACAAGGAGGAATGTGCAAACGTCTTTCCCATCCACAAAGGCACAAATTGTGTCCTTTTGCAAAATAGCAATAGATGGTATCCGAGCTAAAACGGACTAAATGGCGGAGTCTACAGGTGCGCTTACCGACACATCCATGGTTGTTTTGTTTCAGCCCGTTGCTTCTGGTTGACATCAAACATGTCACTGCAAACCATTTATTCAAAGGGTAATGTAAC